TCTATAGGAGTCTGTCTCTCTCTCTCTCTCTCACTCTCTCTCTCTCACTCTCTCTCTCTCTCTCTCTCTCTCTCTCGCTCGCTCGCTCGCTCGCTCGTGTGCCTGTCTATGAAAATATGGAGTTGGAATATCCTGCAGATAGCTTTGCATACTTGGCATTCCTTGATGCCAGTCTGCTGTTCAGCGTCTGCTACCTCCTCGTCGTCGACCCCTTCCTCCTCTCCGTGCCGGTTTGCGGGCTTTTTTAACTGCTCTCTTCCGGGCCTCGATTTCGGTTTTTCTAGCTGGCAAGGCTCCAAGCACTTTCAACCAATACTCCCTCTCCTCCTCTCCTTGGAGCAATCTGACGGCGATGAACTTACCTTTAACTTTAAACCCACCCCGATCCCGATTCACCCGTTTGGAGGCTTCGACTGCAGCCTGCGCTGCCGTTTTTCTGCGGAATCGGATGTAGCCAACCTCACGTCCAATTTCAAAATCCACATGCTTTACGGGGCCATACTTCTTGAAAAGTCCCTTCAAATCCTCCCCCTTTACATCTTTGCCCTCCACTTCTTCTTCTTCTTCTTGGACTTGTTGTTCAAGATCTTGATCTTCTGTCTTGTGGCCTTCCAATGCTTCCGTAGCATCATGACTCTGGGAGGTAAGCCTATGTACGACAGGAGATTCCTCCTCCTCCTCCTTCTCCTCCTCCTCTACCTTTTGCTGCTGCTGCTGCTGGCTTTCGTCCGCAGGTACCCTCACCATAATATCCTCATGCGCTTCGAGACCTTCCATAGCCATAGCTTGCACAAAGTGCTGGTCATCTTCGTCGTCCAGCTGCATGTCCATGGACACACTCTGTGTCATGTCCATGGCCTCGACATTTTCCTTCTGGGCCTCCTCTTCTTCAACTACCTCTTTCGTACTTTCTCCTCCTCCTCTCTTCAGAATGTCCTCTTTCTCCTCTTCAAGTTGGGGGGCTCTGCATTTCACCTCCTCCTCCTCCTCCTCCTCCTCCCCTCCCTCCTGTTGAGTGCAACCACCTACTCCCCCTTCCACCTGGACACCTGTGATCTCTACACTGTGACGCTTTGGTTCCTCTGCTTTCGCTTGTCCCGATCCCAATCCCATCTCTGCTGTCGCTTGTCCCGGTCCCAATCCCATCTCAATCCGATGGCTGTCTGTCGTTAGATCACCGTCTACTTTTGCTTTCTCCTTGTCTTCTTCCTCTGCGCTCTTGGCTTCCATGAGCTCAGCGATGTTCTTTGCTCGATTCGCTTGAAGTTCTTCTTCTTCTCCTAGCATCAGAACTGCTGCAGGGATCTCCTCCCTCTCCTGTCTACCCATATTCTCCTTCTCTTCTTCCTCCATCTCCATATTACTCCCCACAAGACACTCCAGTGAGTCGACTACTGGCCCCTCATGACCCATTCTTTCGAGGCAGGTACTGTCTTTACCAGCTTCTTTTTCTCTTTCTTCCATGTCCATGACCTCGAAGTCCTCTTCTTCTTTTCTCTCTTCCATGTCCGTATTAGCCACCTCCTTCTCCTCAACTGGACCCCCTTCGCCGAGCTTGACATGGAAAATGCCCAGTTCACTGACCCGCTTGTCGTCTTCTTCCTGGCCGTGCACAGTTTCGCTCTCAGGTTTGACTTCCTTCAGCGTCACACGATCCCCATCGCTGCCCACCTTCTCCTCCCCCTCCTCCTTCTCCTCCTCCTTCTCCTCCTCCTTCTCCTCCTCCTTCTCCTCCTCCTTCTCCTCCTCTTCCTTGTGCTCGTCTGCTTCGGCTTTCTCAGAATCCATCGCTTCTCCCTGCACACTGTTTTCTGCTATCTCCTCAGTTTGCTGGGCGTCTGCAGGGTCCAAGGGCAACCCCTCAGGCTTGCAGCAGCTCACCTCTGCTGCCTCCACGTGTTCAATAGCGGTGTAGCCCTCTTGCTGTTCTTCCTCCATAGTCTCCGCAACTTCACACTTCTCTGCACCACTTTCAACCCCCACACCTCCTCCTCCTCCTCCTCCTCCTCCTCCTCCTCCTCCTCGTCCTCCTCCTCCTCCTTCTCCTCCTCCTCCTACCCCCGTCTCCATGTACCCAATACGTCTGCGTTTGCTCACGGGATTTCCATCCTCCTCCTCCTCCTCCTCCTCGTCTTTCTCCGTCTCCTCTTCATCCTTCACCTGCAGTCCCTCCTGGACTGGTTCAACGATATCCATCTGCCTCGACTCCTCATCGACGAGATCTTCCCCTCGCTCCACTCTAATCTCTAACACGAGCCCGACCCTGTAACCTCGACTGCGGTCCTCTTCGTCTTCATCGTCTTCCTCTGCGCCTTCGTCATTTTCTTCCCTCCTCATCATTTGGGAATCGATCATTTGGGAATCGATCCCTGCGCCTGTTGCTGCAGCACCCTTCTTCCTCTTCTTCTTGTCCAGTACAGGACCTGTCCCTCCTTTGCTTCCCGTCTTTTCCCTCTCTAGGAACTGGGTTTTGCTCTCTACGTCCAGTCTCGCACCGCGAAACTCCAGCTGCACTTGCAGCACCCTCTGCATTTCCTCTTCTGAGGAGAACTCCACAAAGAGGGAGCGTGGGAGAGATCGCTTTTGACGCCGGAATCTCACACTCTGGACGTATCCATACTGAGAGAAGAACCTCTTCGCCTCATTGGGCTTCAAGTTCCGCGGGAAGGGACTGGCAATCAAGCTCCTTCGGTCGGTATCTGTCGTCTCAGAGTCTGGGAATGGTTCCGCCCTCTTCACCTTGGTCTTGTCCGGACTGACAGTCAGGCTGCTGGACTGCAGCAGGGCGTTGGCCACCGCAAAGATCGTCGCCGGAGGGATAAGTGATCTCGAAGAGTTTGACTTGATGGACAGCAGGCGGTTGATCTCAGGGTTGAGGGTGCAAACAAGGGAGAGGGGGATAAACCCCTCCTCGTCCTCCTCTATCATCTCCCTCAACGCCTTGTTCTGCTGCAAGTTGTTGTCGCTGAAGTAGGCTTCCACCATATGCTGAAGCTTGGTAGCCAACCCGCCATTGATCTCTGTCACAGGCGCCCCCCTGCGGCTGGATGAGGCGGCGGTAGCGCCACCGCGCCGACTACTTTGTCGTTTGTTAGGCATAGTACTGTAATTACGGTCAAGTCTCCTCCGCTTAGATGTTCGATCCTTCTTCGTTTTTCCTTTCCTTTCCGTTTCTTTTACTTGCTCGCTCGAGTTCTTTGGCCACCCTACAGCGCTCGGCAAACGTGGGCCCCCCCTCCTCTCTCTCTCTCTCTCTCTCTCTCTCTCTCTCTCTCTCTCTCTCTCTCTCTCTCTCTCTCTCTCTCTCTCTCTACAGTTTGGGCCAGCCTACAGCGCTCGGCGAACGTTCGTAGTTGCTGCAACTTCAAGCAAGCAAACCCTCTCTCTCTCTCTCTCTCTCTCTCTCTCTCTCTCTCTCTCTCTCTCTCCAGCTCGCAATCTGTGATCTGCTTTCCTCAAGCTCGTCGTGGGCTTCGAGCACGCATCGAGCCCCTCCTCGTCCTTCCACAACGCTTGACAGTCCTGCTAGGCCTTCTTAGACCATCCTGCAGCCTAGTGTTTTGTCATTACGACTGGAAGACTGGTAGTTATTGAGCGATCTTCTTCACAATCTTCACCACTCCCAACGAAAAAAAGGTTGGTCTTTGTCATCTCTGTCTCTCAAGAAGAGGCTGACTGCCGTCAGCGAGCTGAAGTACTTCATTCATCTAAGTCACAAAAAAAATCAGTGTTGCCGCAGAGAGCCGACTGTCCAGTAACGAGCGGACTGGTCGAAAGCTCGAATCCCAGTTATGTCAATCCACCTCCACCCCAGTCTCTTAGAGTAGGATGGCTTGGGGCCCCTGTGTACTGCATATGCCTCTTCGTATGCTCATCATACGCATGGACAGGCCACTTCCAGTTCAAGACAAATCACACAAGAACGCAGCCAGCCCAATCATCAAGCCAACGCAACTTGCAGTTTAGATCGGATTCGATCCCAAGCATTTTTTTCCAGCACGTGAATTTTTTTATTCTTTTAAAATAATAATAATAATAATAATAATAATAATAATAATAATAATAATAATTATTATTATTATTATTATAATTATTATTATTATTGAAAAGAAAGGCCAGGATGTTGTAGAGGCCAAGGACTACGGTAGACCCACGGTGATCGCTGACAGCGGCAGCCGATGGTTGTCCTGACAGGGGCACGTGAATTTGTAGTATAGTAATAATGTGATGAAAAAAAGCAACGCACTCAACAAGTGCGCTTGTAAATTTAAAAAAAAAAAAAAAAAAAAAAAAAAAAAGTCCGCTTGTTCCTGCACAGAGTGCAACATCCCCAAAGGTGAGCGTATACAGCCAGCGGAAACGAAGACACAAACACGAGGGAGGGCCAGAAAGAGATCCTTGTTGTTCTTGTGCTTTTCCCTTCTTCTTCCTTCTTCCTTCTTCCTTCTTCCTTCTTCTTCCTTCTTCTTCTTCTTCTTCTTCTTCTTAGGCGAGGGTTGTGTGGGAAGCCCCCTGAGCGAGGATGATCGGAGCGCAACCGATCGAAACGCGTCGGGGAATGTGCGCGTCAGCTGAGATGAGTATGCCCTGCTTTGCATTGATGAGCTTTTGAAGCGTGCACGTAAGGCAGTTGGCCACTGTTTCCACTCTTCTTCTTCTTCTTCTTCTTCTTCTTCTTTATACTACCGTCTTCCCCCGAACACAACGCACCCTCATCTTGGCTGTACCGGACCGGAAATATAGCTTGCATTCGTTCAATTTCAGGGTGCGTTCTGTTCGGGTTAAGACGGTAGTATTACGACTACTACAACTTCTGCTTCTGCTTCTGCTTCAGCTTCTTCTTCTGCTGCTGCTGCCTCTTCTTCTCGTTTTCAGGTCGAATGTGCCACGCGGTGATGCATTTGAAATCGCCCCGCGACTCCTCCTTCTCCTCCTCCTCCTCCTCCTCCTTTCTTCTACTTCTTTTCGGACGATGGCGCAATGCACAGCACATGGCGTGCTTACATATCCACTTTCCTCTTCTCCTTCTTCTCCTTCTTCTCCTTCTTCCCCTTCTTCTCCTTCTTCTCCTTCTTCTTATTGCGTGCTTTCTTAGTTGCACTCCCACCAGGTGCGATTACGATGGCCCGCACACATCCT